AGGATGAACATGCATGCGTGCGCAGACACACACACGCGCGCGCGCGGGCACGCACACACACACTAAGAGCCACTTTTGAAGCGTATCTTCTATATAGCCTGTCTTCCAAACATTAGGATAGCCCTCTTCTCCAAATGTGGTTCAGAACAATCACTCTCATAACCTGCCCTCAAATGAAAAGATTCCTTTGTCTGAGTTCCTGAAATGATGTATATTATTTTGTTTTATTTCACCCCAAAGAGACCCAATACTAGACAAAATGCAGGAGACAGTCTATTTATTTTGCATTCTCTTGGTGAAACCAATTCCTGTTTTTATTACTCTGAACAGTGAACTGTAACACGGTCATGGTATTTATATTTGTGTCATACAGTTCATAGTCAACCATGTATTTTTTAAAATGTTAATATATTTTATTGAGAAAAATAAAACAATACTTTGAAGGAAGCGACTTCTCTGGGGATAAGAAAATGTTAATCTTATTTCCCTTCTTGTATAGCGCTATTATATTTTGCAATAGAGGTAAAGTCTCATTAATTTCTTCCATGATTCCAGTAAGTTTATCTCCTTTACAGATTTTTAAATTTTTCTCATTTTTTTCCGAAAGCCTATGTAGCAGTTAGATAGGAAGTATTGTTACAATGTCTTTACAGATGAACACAAATCTATTAATTCTGTGTTTATAATTTGACCAGGAATTATTTTAAATATAGGAACATTAAGAATAAAATGAAAACCTTTCTGGAATGTTCTTTGTAGCCTTATCAGAAAGATTCTTTCCTAATGATTTTTTTTTTTTTTGGTTTTTACGAGACAGGGTTTCTCTGTATTGTTTTGGAGGCTTTCTTAATGATTTTAGTCATGTCTTCACATTTCCTTGTTTAAGAATGGGAGCAAGGAAAAGCATAAGTTCCCTCATTAGCTGTAGCTCATCTCATTGCCTTAATGCTTTCCCCTCCCCAAGAGCAACAGTTGCAGTTAGGGTTGAAGTTGGTCTGTGTTTTCTAATTCATTGAATCAAGCAGTCAGACCTTTGCATGTGCGTAGTTAACCTGAACTGGGAATCCTACGTCCTTTAGTTTGCTCATCTAACGCTGGGATAGCATCATCACTATCCAAGGTAGTCCTGGGTACGAGCAAAAGTAGCATTGTCCCCATGAAGGAAGAAGTTGACCATCTCTTTGTTTAAACTGAACTCTGTGAAAGCTCACTCATGTGGCATTTCAAATTCCACAGCAGCAGAAGTACAACTTTGAGTCATTTCTCTTGATCCTTTGTAGCATGGGAAATCACCAGGCATGTGGGTGGCCAGAAAAAGAGAACCTTTTATAGATGTAGTGACAATGTTTTGCTACATACAAGGATCCACTGTCAGAGGTAAGACATTCCATGTCAGTAAGAGACACACACCAGCCTTATGGCATCTGCCAGTAACAAAATAACATGAAAACTGCCTGAAAGAGTGAACTTTAAAGATTAGTCTCTCTACTCAGAACAGCTTAAAAACCATCTGTCAAGCAGGTCATACTAACTCACACCTATAATGCATGGGAGGATGAGGTCAGGGGATTACCATGCATTTAAGGCTAATCTGGGATGCATACTGAGACTAGCCTGGGCTATAGAGTGAGATGCTGTTATTAAAAATAAACAAATAAATGGAGGCAGGGTAGAAAAGAGGAAGAGGAGGAAGGAGAGAACAATAAAATGACTCCTAATGACTTTCAGTGTGTGTGTATGTTGGGGATGTGTATACACACACTCATAGATCAGGACCTTGCTCAACCATCATCAGAGAAGTTCCCCTTGGCAGCAGATGAGAACAAATACAGAGACCCACAGCCATATTTTACGGAGAGACCTTGGAACACTCGGTCTTAAAAGGGATTTCTCTATTAAGTAACCCTTTTCAGGGCTCAGGGAATCCTGTAGAAGAGGAGGTGGAAGAGTGTAAGAGCTAGAGGGAAGAGAGGGCACCTAGAAAACCTGGCCCTCTAAATCAACAAGAGGGACACTCCTATGAACCTACAGAGAATGAGATAGCATGCACAGGTCTGCATCGGGTCCTCTGTATATATGTTACAGCTTCCAGCTTAGTGTTTTTAGTGGGAGTCCTGGGTGTGTGTGTAAATGAGTGGGCTTCTGACCTTTGTCCCTTCTATTTTCCTTCTGTTTGCTGATCTTGTCAACTTCAATATGTTTAAGAATATTCTGCATGTTTCCTTTGATCCTGAAAAATGAGTATCTAGAAGAACTACCAGAAAGTCTTAACAAAACGTTTCTTCAAAATACATCAAGAATATGTTTTCCTTACTCCAAGTCATACTCCTTGCCAATGGAATAAACATTGTGGTTGTTGACTCTCAGAGCCCCTACTAATAGAGAACTGAGAGAAAGAGATAAAGCCTTCTATGTATGTTCGTTTACTTCTTCCCTGGCAGTTTCACACATGTAGAGGAAGAATTTTAGTCATTTTCACCCATTACCCTCTCTCATCCCCTCCTGTCTCCCACTGAAACACTTCTTCCCAAGAAGCTCTCTTTGTACTCTCATATCTGTGTTTTTGAAGTAACGTTAGAGAGATATTGCTCCTCAATAATGCAGCTGTCACTTTTACATGTGTCATTTCATGAATATTTGAAGTGTAACCAGATTCTTTTGTCACTTTTTTACCCTATAAATCTGATATTGAGAAAGAAAGAGATGAAAAGAATAGCTCTTCTTTGTGTACTACAGTAATTTGATAATGTCACAGTTAAAAGGCTGAGGCTTAGTCAAACTCCCAGAAGGTCCTAAACCACAGGGTTTAATGACTGAAATCCTCTTTGCAGTAGTAAAGGCAAGGCAGGTGCAAATAATGACAGTACCCCAACACCCCCCCAACCTCCACCACAGCTGACCGGTAATCTGTTAAGTATCTTCAGAGTGTTTTGTTTACTTTCTGTTCAAACAACTACAATTTGAAAAGGGGGAGGAACAGCCCAAATCTTATAGGGTTTTCAAGAAGTTACTCAATTAAGGGGGAACGGGGAGGCATATTAAGAGCAGGCATAATCGAAAAGGGAAAAGCCAGGGGCACTCCAAGACACTTGTATGGGCAGCTGCATTCTGGGCTCTAGAAGGTCTAGACTGGTCCTGTGCTACGTAATGCATGGTCCCACTGTCCTCTGCAGTGTTCCTTTGCTAGAATCAGTGTGGAGAGAGAACCCTGCCTAAGCTTGAAGCCTGACTCCAGTACTTGAGAGCATAAGGGAGAACAGCAGTCGACTTTCTAAGAGACTGGGATTCTTCATCTGTACGGGGGAAATCATAAGAGAATGCATGCTTGAGCTAACCCCCCAGGTCCCCTGGCCTAGAGTAAGGCTCCAAGAAGCTAAGCTGTTCTTCTCATATTGTTGATGCTTATTATCCAAAGCAAACACCCTTGCAGGATGACACTGATGTCACACTAAAAGGAGGCGCCAGATACTGGGATATGAGAAGACAAGAAATGGAGAGTAGAGCCCAAAGTTGGTTGGTGCACAGGAGACATACTGCTTTTGTTTCTTTCTTTCTTTCCCATGCCTTCTTATTTTGCTTAATAGTGACTTTCATCTTCCAGATTCCAATTCATTAGTTTGTACCATCTCACATTTCAGCTTTCAAATTATGTCCTTCTCATCTTTGACTCATGTCCCCTTGTAGACCAGGACATCATCTGAACCACAACAGGACTCCGGAAGTGTTTATTGCATGGGTGATTTTTTTTATTTTATTTTCCAGTTTAAATTTAGATAAGAAACAAGGTTGCTTCACAAGTCAGTTCCAGGTCCCTCTCCCTTTCCCTCTCCTCCTCCCGTGCCCTCCCCCCAACCCCCCCCCCGTTATCCCCTCATTCCCCCAGGGAGGGTGAGGCCCTCCATGGGGGTGTCAATAGTCTGTCATTTCATATAAGGCAGGGCCTAGACCCTTCCCCAAGAGTTCAGGGTGAGAGTGCACCTCACATTGTTCTATGAGAGTCCAAAGTCCGTGTGTATACTTGGGATGGGTACTGATCTGCGAGTATTGAAACTCTGGCTTCTAATTCTGTTTAGTAGCAATGGACTTACTGAATTCACAGGTAATCTGTGCTTACTAAATGGTTTCAAGGACAATATTACAAATAGACAATTGCTTTAAAGGTAAAATTACCTTAAGACCACCATGGATAAAAGAAAGTCCTCTATAATTCTTGAAAAATATTCCCACTTAATAGGGTAGCACCTGATCTGTTCTTGGTCCTAGCCTTCTTCCATAGCTAAATTGTTTAAAGACATGGGACGCAGCTTCAGTTTCAGCCTCTTGAGAAATATTGGGATGTCCAAGCAAACTTGTGATTCTATTGGAGTCCCAGCTAGAAAACCATCTAGTGTCTAAACTGTGATCCAGCACCTGACCACACAGCCATAGAGACTCCGCCTACCTCAGTGGAAGGCAGCAGGGCTACTTTCTTGGGTCTGAGTTCCTCCATAGCCGCATGTTCTCCTGTGATTGCTCACCCGTGTAGCTGAAAATCACTTGGGAAAGTAATGGTCTTAAAATACATATATCCATACAGTTTTGTGGCCTTCATGATCTCGGCAAATATACAAAAGAGGTGTTTGTTCTCGCTTTGACTTTGAAAATGTGATAGATGGGGTGATCAGGCCAGCTTCATTGGCTCATCTCTCAGAGTACTGCAGTCAATAGTTAATTCACCCATCCACAGCCTGCAGTCTCCTCCTAGGTTCCTGCTGCCAGCCACTGCTGTTTTTATTACCTACTGTTTAATTGCACTGATAGGTTTTGCTTTTCTTTTCATTGGAAGCTCTGCAAAGTGCTCATCTTGCTGCTGTAGTTAGACTTAGGCATTTCAGATCACTCCACATCCATGAGCGGGAAAGGGGGGGGGGGGGGGGTCTCTCTGAGGCATGTAAGCACATGTGAATATGCACATTTTTCCCAAAGCACTAGGTGACTACTTCTAACTTTTACTTTTTTAGAAAAGAAGAGGCTTATTTGGGACCAATAAATTCTGCCAGGTAAGGGCTTCTGGTAGCCAGAGCTGTGTGGCAGGGATTTTTTTTTCTTTTATAACCTTTGTTATGATTATTACCCAGCAAACCATAATTTTCCCACCCCACAGACTTTTTTTGTGTAAACAGAAATAACATGAGCTAAATTGATATAACTAAGTAACAAGCATTTGGTCATTTGAAACTTACATCTTACACTTAATAAATTGTTGAAAGCACTCATTTTTAACAATTAAATGTCTATGAAGTGACAATTAAATCTTTAAAAATATTGCTTTGGCATATAATTGCAATTCTAACAATTTACCTTAACATTCTATATGTGAAATTATTATATACATATATATTTTTTCATTTGGTAATTTTAACTTGACATTTTAGGGTTTATGAGAATGTCTTTATTAATCTAGGATCCATTATTCATTCTGGAAATCACTGAATGAATTATAAAAGAGTTACCACTGTCCTGTGACTTCCTGGGGAGATGTAAAGAAACATCTTCTCAGCCCTGTTGCTGTCAGTGATTTTATTGGAGTTCTTTACAGGAGTGTGTACAACTCAAAGGTAGTTAGAAAGTCTTATAGGAAACATACAGATATCTATGCCACTAGGAGTCATACCCACAGCATTCATACTCATATAAACTGCACTACTAAGGAAACCTCTGGGCAATTTGCAAGCAACTTTATGACCAAATCGGCCTCCACAGTCCATTGCTGACTCCTTTGCAACCTCACGGGAGGGAGAGACCTTAGAAGAATAGCATGAAGGCTCCTGAGCCCATTAGTCCCATGAGCCTCATAGGCTCTCCTTCCCCCATGTGGGAGGTCTCATCTCTGATTCAATGTGGGGATAATCACAACCATTGACTCAACAGATCTCATAATGACTACAGAGAATGGCCATCCACTACAAAAAAAAAGATAGTTAATAGTAATTCTTTACATCTAATTTTTAGAATATTTCAGGAAGACATAAAACAAAACTTCAGAACAGTGCCACTTTCTACTTTTTAAAAATCTGAAAACCCTTTTTATGATGCTGCAAATCTAAATCTTGCCCATATGGTTTGGGCATGGAAGGTCAGATATCAGTACCCAGCACTTGTTTCAAGGGATCAGAGAGCATCTATACTCTTCTACAATTTTCTTCTAGTTAATCATCTGACAAATAATATTGGAATAAAAATGTTTTTTTTTATTTTTTTTGAGACAGGGTTTCTCTGTGTAGCTTTGTAGACCAGGCTGACCTCAAACTCACAGAGATCCACCTGCCTCTGCCTCCCGAGTGCTGGGATTAAAGGCCTGTGCCACCACTGCTCGGCCTTGAATAAAAAAAATGTAATTGTAGCTGTTTTAGACTTTCTGTTGCTGAGAGACATACCAGAGAAAACAACATAAGAGGTAGGGTGCATATATAGTTCGTTTTCACCCATGTGACCAAAATACAAAAGAAACCAAACCTAAAAAGAGTGACTTTATCCTAGATCACAGTCTCCAAAGTTTTTGCCCACAGTCTGTGGCTCTGTTTATCCTGGGCCTGCCATGTGGCAGAACCAATTTGTGGTGTTGAAATGGTGTAGCTAGTTGGCAGAGGCTACTCATCTCATGGTGGAAAAGAAGCAGGGTGTGAGGGAGGGTCTGGGGGCCAGGTATATCCTTCATCAGCATGTGCCCGGTGGCCTGCTTCCTCCAGGGAGGCCTCACCTCTTCCTGGTCCCACTGTCTGTCTCCCTAACACCACCAGTGAAAGATAGAACACAGAGCCTGAGTAGGACATTCTATAGTCAAGCCATAGGAGGAGCGATTTCTTTGTGTTCCAGTCTGTTATAGCAGGGATGGCATGGTGACCTGAGCTGCTGCCACCCTGATGGGCAGAGGAGACAGTAGAGGCTTGTGCTGGAGGATTTCCTCCTTGCCCTCCAGCTCCTCCCTGGTCCCCCAGTCTATTAGGTAGGGCCAGCTGTGTTACAATGGGTCACCCCCATCACCTCCCAGCCCCCTTTGCATCCCTATCCCCACTTAGCTGATCCTCTCTGAAAATGGCCTCACAGACAGACCCATAGCTGTTCTTGTCCCATTCCACACTGGCACTCAGGATTTACCATCAAAATAAACATCTATGGGAAAGGTAAAGGGATATAGACAAGAAGAAAACATGGGTATTTTCTGAAAACTCATGTAAGGAAATCAACCGTTTTCAGTAGAAATCAGAGTTCTTTTTCCTAATGCTCTTCTCTTATTACTAGAAAAACCCTTCCTCTTCTAGTTCTCTCATGCTTTACACATTAACATAAATGACTGATCCAACAACAATGAATAAAGTAATAAGTATAATCTTTCTGTTAGATACATTCCTGTGGCTGGTGAGTTTATCAGCTAACCCATGATTGTTTTTCCAATCCTCACAGTCTCTCCCCTCCAGCTCTTCTCTATTCCCCCAATTTACTCCTCCTGGATTTCTATTCAGGAAAGGGCAATCCTCCCATACATATCAACAAAACACGGCATGTCAAGTTTTTGTGAGACTATGCGCCTCCCCTTGTATTAAGGCTTGGCAAGACAACCCAATATGAGGGATAGGGCCTCAAAAACTAGCAAAAGTGTCAGAAACAGCCCCTGCTCCCCATTGTTGGATGTCCCACAAGAAGGCTAAGCTACACAATAGAATATCCTTTTAAGTGAGAGGCATCAGAGGTAAGATTTTGATATGACTAGCTGGAAATCTCATATGAAGGCAGCAAGTCAGGAAACAAGGAAGTCATTAAAACTGCTGTGGCAACCAGGTGTTGCTGGCACACGCCTTTAATCCCACACCTGGGAGGCAGAGACAGGAGGATCTCTGTGAATTTGAGGCCGCTCCAGAATGTGTGCATTCAAACCATCACCCTTGTTTTTAGAGTGATGGTTCCTTTACTGTCACCTCTCCCAACTCTTAAACTTGTAGCAAAAAGTAGGCTAGTTCTAGTAACTTCAAATTTTTATTTTTGGAGAATTTCATATGTGAGTACACTCTATTTACCTGGTTTCTACCTCTCTCCCCACCAACTGCTCTAGTGTTTCCTGTCCCCTTCTCAGATTCATTATCTCTTCTTCTATAATTTTATATATATATATATATATATACACACACACAAATATACACATATATACACATACATGTCTTCTACTACTGTTGTGACATATAACAATAGCTCTGCCTCTTTCTTGCTGCATGTAAGTTCTCCTAATTGCTAATTTTATACTTTCTTGATTTATAATCATGATCAGGGATGGTATTTATACCTTCTCTCTCAAATATCACCTACTAATCCAATATTAAACTCTGAGCTCAGGAGATTTCCTAGTCACTGGTGTCAGCTGACCTGTCCTTGTTAATGTCACACTGTTGATGAGTAATTCACTGCTCATCATCTGCATTGTTTTGAGAGCTGCCAGTCTTCTGATGTTAATGCTGGGGATTAATTTCTGGGGTACACGAGAGAATCATCATGATCTCTTTTTACCTACTCCGCAGATAGAATTGTTTCTTTTCCTAAGTGTGATGGCTCTACACCATGTGTTTTCCTATGACTGAATACTTTCATTATTATATATTTTTCCCTCATGTGTGTTTTCTATGGAAGCCAAAATGAATCACAGGCTATAAATCAAAACCATGCTTAATCAATATTTAAACAAGGATTACATATTGACCAATCTCTTACATGCATCTGAGTGTTTGGTAATATACTTTCCAGTACAGTGAATTTCAATCCATAGGACATGAAAGCTAATAAATTATTTTGAAATAAAGATACACACTTTCCTGTTCTGTAATAAGAGCCTGACATTTACAACTTGGCCATAAATCAAAACTTAAGAAGTTAAATATATCTGTAGTGACTGTCACTGAGATCATCTGAGACCACGATGGGCATTATCGCTTCCTACAGGGAAAACATTAACAACTTAATTTTAACCTTAACGCATGGCTCTTTGGTTTTCTCAATGTCTGACTCTTTAAAATGTCCCATGCTTCCTTTGGTTGGTAGGAGGTTGCTAGGGATGTGATGATTCTCTTGTGGTCCTTTGTGTGTTATGACTTCAAACAGGTTTGTTTTGCTTTTGTTTTTTACTCTTAATTCCCGGAGACAGGACCATTTACAGATGCCTGAGATTCTCTGATAGCCTCATTTGGGAACTAAGAACTAAGAGTTAAAACCTTCAGGAGGAATTCTGCTCCTCTGATTTGCCCACAGTGATGTCTTTCCTTGGAAGGTAATTTTGACTTTTTGTGTTTAATCCTTTGCTCTTCAGATGGACCCTGTGCAGAAAGCCGTCATTAACCACACGTTTGGAGTCTCCATTCCCCCAAAGAAGAAGCAAGTTATTTCTTGTAATGTCTGTCAGCTTCGCTTTAACTCGGATGTGAGTATCACTGTTTTACTGCTCTCTGAAGTGTTGCTTGTGATGATGCTGACTAGCCTGAATATGTTCATCTCTTTGTATTTGCCTGCTCTGTGGTGGTTCAGCACGGGCTCCTCCTGATGGCCCACTGGCTCCAGTGTGTCCAGTTCCCAAGTGACTTAGATTCATTGCTTCAAATTCGAACAGTAGGACAAGTGACTGATCATGAAAATTAAGATGTTCTCTCATACACTTGATCCCACTGATTCTATTTGCTTGTCAAAAATACTTGAAAAATTAGAAAATATGAAAAAAATTGAGTGAATGCCACAGAAGACTGCTGTTATTTTTGACAAGAACTATCACATTTCATGCATGTGTTCAATCTTACTAAGCAGCTCAAAGACTACTATATTATACAAGTTATGATTCCATTTCATATGAATATAGGGAAAACATTTTACAACTAGCCACACAGACATTCTGCTAAAAAGAGATACCAAAGAAAGTGTAAAATCTAAGTAGATTTTTAAATGTATAAAAAATAGGTAACAGTAGAAATCTGGTAATATTTAACTACCAGATAAAACCAGTTTCCAATGCAAATGGGATCTGAAGACTGTATCTTAGATGTGGGATTTCACAAGTTTCTGGACTCAAAAAGCCATTTTGTAAAGAGCATACAACAGATTTAATGTGTTTTTAGAAATACAAAAATAACAGACATCCTTCTTCATATATACCATGATGTGACATTTTCATAATTCTACAGAGTAAGCACAATGAAATTGCACTCACTGGAAAAGAAGTTGATCATGATCTGAATGATTATATTTAATATGATTTCAACCAAAGTCTAGTGAATGTTGGGTAGAGTATAAAATTCCATAAGGAAGACTTTAAATGTACCTAAATAAACAGACAAAAATAGGTCATTTGACACCTCAATATTACTGAGGTATCAATTCTCCTCAAACTGTAAAGACAGCAGATGAATACCAAAATTCTCCAAATCTCATTTTTTTAATCACCCACTTCTTAGAATACACATAGGAAAGGAGGAAAAAACACCCAGAGGTATAAATTTGAGGATTGATTTTTCCTGATTTCAGTGCTTACTACAAAACCTACAAGGTACATTGAAAAAAATCAAGGTACATTGAAAAGTCACCCCATCTTGGAACTGGAGAGATGACTCAGCAGGGAAAAGTACTAACTACTTTTGCAGAGGGCGTGAGGTCCATGCCCAGCACCATCCATGACTCCAGTTTCAGGGGAACTGGCTCCCTCTTCTTGTCTCCAAGGGTACAGCACACACTAGTGCACTTGCATCCATGCAGGCAAAACACTCAATATACATAAAGATAAATAAATCTTTAGAATCTCATTCATCTTAATGCCTCAAGCCCTACTTGTCATTCATAAACATTATCAACACTTAGCACTTTTTATGTAGCCTTCCAAAGTTTATTTATGGAGTTGTATCTAAATGTGAGTATGTTTCTCTGAGATATAGAGTTTGTTTGGTGTTCATGAACCAAGCATGTACCATATTCATGTGTGTGCATACATGTATGTGTGCAGGCATGCATGCACATGCATGACCAAGAATGTGAAGGTCAGAAGTTGATGCCAGGTGTTTTTCTCAGTCTCTCTCCCCTTGTTTTCTTATGATGTGGTCTCTCACTAAACCTGGAGCTCATCTTTAAAGCTTGATTGTCTGGTCAGTGAGCTGCAGAGATCTGATTCTCTGACCCCAGCAGATTTCTGTCGCACCAGGCTCTTGAATGGATGCTCATGTCCTCATGTTTCCAGAGCAGACTCTTTACCCACGGAGCTATCTTCCCACCTCCTGCCTTGAGTTCCCCCCATTGCAGTGTTCACTGAGGAGCCATTCTGTCAATGGAGAGCACTCCTTGATCTTTTTATTTGCAAATGTGCTAGACAAAGATGATGCTTATGTCCTAGGGCCCTAGATCCTCACAGTATGTTACCTTGCATCACAAGGGAGGAATAAGTTAGCAGACAGTATTGAAGGTGATAATCACCTGACTCTAAAAGAGGAAGAATATCCACCACTGTCTCATGTGTCCAGTGTGCAAGACTCCTTAAAAAAGGGAAGAGGAAGGCAGAAGAAACAGTCATTATGATTCATTGATCACCTATTGATGAATCTCAAGTTAAAAGAATGTGCCAAAAGCCAAGGAGTGTGCACAGGCTTAGAAGTCAGTTTTACCAATACCTTTGTTTTAGCCCAGAGAGATGCGCATCCCATTTCTGACACAATAATAAATTTGCGTTGTTTTAGCTAATGAAGGTTTCCCGTGAAAGCAGTAGAAACTTGCACCACCAGTTTCTGTGTGCGGGCCCCATAGTCTGTTTACTCATTAGCAGTTTTTGTGTGCATGTCCCATGGTTGTTTGTTCAGGGCCTTGTAGGTGACCATGTAAGCTGTTTCCCATTTAGGAGTATTGCATGTATTTTCATAGTCAGTACACAGCACAACTAGGACATAAATCTGGATATCTTGTTTCTAAATCTGCAGGTGTGCTTACAATACTATTTCTTGTAATTTGACTTTTGTCTAAGGATTAATTGAACCCCTCCTGGATGATGAGAGGACATTCCAAAGAGTAGCTTTTACAAGCAAGTGATATGGGTATGTGTGGGATCTGTTCTTCCTCAGGGAAGCCAGAGTACATTGCAGATCTTCCAGTCAATTCTCGATTGCATGTACAATACTGCATTCGAAGTCTGTGAGGGCCAGGGATGGTAACATACACCTTTAACCCCACACTCAAAAGAAAAAGGCAGAGGCTGGCAGATCTCTGAGGGTTTAAGGCCAGCCTGATCTACACAATGAGTTTCAAGGCAAACAAGCTAAATAGACCCTGTCTCAAGATAAAGAAGTTCATGAACATGGATTTAAGTTCTGTTCTGAACTTGGAAAATTACACCAACACTGTTGACCTTAGTTTTTTCTTCTATGATGGGAAAATGGACTGTTCCAGATGCTTAAAAATAATCTCCATGGTATCACTGTCAGCAGAACAGGATACAAACAAATCTGTCATACAGATAGTACAGCTAAGACCTCAGAATTATGCTTTCTGTTGTGTCATGGAAGCCAGGTGTGGTGGTACTCCCTGTAATCCCAGAACTCATGATGGAGGCCTCAGAGTCAGGGCTTAGTGGCCAGCCTTGTCTACAGAGTAAGTGTGAGGCTTGGACAACATGAGACCCTGTTGGAAAAACCAAAATAGAAAAAAGCAAAGCAAAAACCAAATCTGTCCCATGGGTGCTTTGAGGGGAGGCGTGAGAATTTTCTCTGTACATTTCAGAATTTCTCACACCTTTGATCTGTGCTCAACATCATCCATTTCTTTTCTGAGTGTAACTAATATGGACAAGGAAGCTGTGTACATGTTAGCAGATGATCACCAGCTTCCTGTCGCTACTCAGTAACCCTGTGGAGAATAAATAAAGAAATGAGATTTCTGAGTCCTGCTTAGATTCTAGGTAATAAAACCGCAAAATCTGGATGGAGATTCAGAAATGTGACATATATGTGTTCCCCATATTTAGTAATGGTGCTGTAATCTGCATAACTGAGCTCTCTAACTGAGCATTTTTTATTGGGGAGAGAGTTTATTATTTTATAATTACCCTATTTACATTTTAATGCAAGAATTAAGAAGATGCTCATCCTTATTTCCTTTAATAACATTTCTAAATCAGCCTGAGACTCAATTGGCTTCACTCTTCAGTGTAGAAAATATGTTTATTGAAAGATCTGGAAGGCAAATTTGCACAGTAAACAGACTGCTCTCCACGGTTCCCTATAATGCACATAAAACATACCAGGGTAGACCTTGTACAATAAAACTCAGAGCGACCTAGTTTAAGCGTTCTGCAACCTGCTTTGTCCAGCTTTTACCATCTAAATAGAACACCACTGGTAAAAAGCAAAAGGCTACAGCTTTATTTACACAATGAAGTCTTATGTAAATGAGCAAACATTAATCACAAACATTTCCCAAGTGAACCTTTACAAATTGACACCATTAACTTTGCCAGGGGCAGGCACCGCAGTCCAGGAATAATACACTTTCCAAAAGAGTCCTGAACCTTTGCACAAATATGGGCAGATGCCAATGCCTGCTTTATTCTTCATCATATTTTTTTAATCCTAACCTAGGATAAACCAAATGAGGTTGTCATGAGCCCCCATGTTCCTCTGTTGATAAATGAGTGCACACTGCAGGATGATCATAAATTGATGAGCCTGAGTAGGAATCTTTACCTTTCGGCTGCAAAGTGCCATTTCCAGAGAGGAGCCCCGTCAGGAAAATGAGCTAACATACACTTCACAAATAACACCTTGAGGCAAACATTTTTCTCTTTCTTTGCTAGGTTGAAAATTGGGAGATCACAAATAATTTCTAATTTACATATTAATTCCAGTTCCTTGGAAACAAGCAGTAGAAGGATCAAGGAAATACAAGAGGAATTTTACATGAGAGCAGGGAAACTTGGTGTTCTTAAGTGTTTAGAAACAGGGATGACGTCACTATCATCTCACCACAGTTCACTGTAAACAGTCTTCGTCCCATGTGGATATGTGGATTCCCATGGCTTCATACGGAAATAGAAATGAGAGCACAGTGATCTAACCGAGTTTTACAGATTCTCGTTCAGGAATATACCCTAAAATATTGGAATTCATCATTAAGGCCACAAATTATAAAGCATGAGATCTTTCATTACTAGCATGGTGCTAAACCATCTGATTTGCAAAAGCTACAGTATTAAGAATCCCATCAGAACTCATATTCTCTTCATTCTATCTTACTTTATAGCATTTGTAGGTTGGTGAGTTTTGCTGACATTGACCTATCTGGATTATGGTATGGACTTCGGTTTGTTTATCTGGTGTCTCTGGATTTTAGCCCTCTGTCCTTCTTTCTGCACTTTATGCTTTCCCATTTGGGGATGTAAAGAGATGACCTCATGCCATTTCA